GAGGGGAACCGGGTCTGTATTTGGGATCCGAACCCTCGGGCGGGAGCGCCGCCACACTTCCCAAGCGGCGCACAATCCAGTGCGCCACCGGGCCGGCCCCATTGTTCTGAGATATTAATAATGAATTGATAACCCCTAAATAGAGAGACGTCCTTTCGATAGTCTTTTCAGTGAGGAAAGAGGAAAGGCCTTGTCAGCTGGCAGGGGCCCCTGCATGCCCCACTCAGCAGGTCAGAGGTGGCAGAATCCTAGTGGGCGGGGGCGGGGCAGGTCCTCATCCCCCCAAAGCAGTGTCCCCACTGGCCCACTCCATCCACTTCTCGGGACAGTGCTGTGAGAAGTTGTAAATGTTCTCCAGCCAGGCCACCCTTTCTCAAATCCGGCTCAGCTTAAAAATACCGCCTTTCCCATGTCCCCTGCTGAAGTGCAGCGCTGTTAGTTTCCTCTCTTCGAGTCCCCCCAAGGTCTCATGGAACCTCTGCAACTCAGGTCATCTTTTATTGATATCTGTGGCGTTTGCGGGCTTTGCAGTATGGGGAGGATGGAGGCTGAGCGCCTCCCTCCCTTTCCCGTCCCCTCTGACACCGTGTCTTTGCTGTGGGCAGCTCTGCTACGACTACAAGTTTGACTTTGAAGACGACCAGCACAAGATCCCGTGTCACTGTGGGGCCGTGAACTGCCGGAAGTGGATGAACTGAACGCATTCCTTGCTGTCCCAGCGGCGGCTTGTCCCGGGAAGAGGTGATTCAGCACACCATTGGAATTGGGCAGACAGAAAGATATTTTTGTTTTCTGTTCTATGACTTTTCGAAAAATAGCTTCTGGGAGTTCTGATTTCCTCGGCCCTGGAGGCTGAAGCGGGGCGTGCGGTGGGGCGGAACCCAGAGGGTCCAGCACTTTTGCTTTTGTTCTTTTCTTTTCTTTTTCCTTTTCCTTGTGGGTGGGTTTTGTTTTGTTTTGTTTTGTTTCTAGTCTCACTAAGGAGAAACTTTTACTGGGGCAAAGAGCCGATGGCTGCCCTGCCCCGGGGCAGGGGCCTTCCTATGAATGTAAGACTGAGATCACCAGCTAAGGGTGTCCGCAGTGCTGGCCGCGGCCTGGCCGGGCAGGGCAGGGCCTCGAACCCAAACGCTTCGGAATAAAGTAGACACCACTGAACAAGGAATGTACTGAATGACTTCCTTAGGGATAGAGCTAAGGGATAATAACTTGCACTAAAATACACTTAAATACTTGATTCCATGAGTCAGTTTATTGTAGTTTTTTGATTTCTGTAAAATAAGAGAAACTTTTTGTATTTATTATTGAATAAGTGAATGAAGCTATTTTTAAATAAAAGTTAGAAGAAAGCCAAGCTGCTGCTGTTACCTGCAGAACTAACAAACCCTGTTACTTTGTACAAATATGTAAATATTTTGAGAAAAAATACAGTATAAAAATAGTTATTGACCAAATGCTACCAGGCTCTGCAGCAGCTCGGGTGCTTATAAAATGTTCATAGGGATGTTACAATATAATTTTGTGTCATTAAATATGCCATTATAATTATGTAATAACCAAAATTTCAACCTGGAGTGTTTGGGGCTTTTTGGAAACTACGATCTATTAGTACTTAATTGTTTTATACACCTTACTTCTGACAGAACAGACTGTATGCTACGACTACAACTTTTATAGCTGTTTTGGTAATTTAAACTAATTTTTCATATTATATTGTTGCATCCCTACTCCTTCAGTCAGGTTTTTTTGTGCTTACAATTTGTGATAACTGTGAATAACTGCTTAAAAATACACCCAAATGGAGGCTGGATTTTTTCTTCAGCAAAAGTAGTTTTGATTAGAACTTTGTTTCAGGCCACAAAGAATCATGTAAACGTAATAGGATCATGTAGCAGGAACTTAAATCTAACTCTTTAGCCTTCTATTTAACACAAAAATTTTTAAAAGGAAAAAAAAAAAAGATTGTGACTATGCTTGCGGCTGCAGGACTCCGGCAATAGGGTTTTTGGAAGATGTAATTTTAAAATGTGTTTGTATGGACTGTTTGTTTACATTTCTTTAATAAAAAATAAAAACACTGTTTTGTGTTTGCTTGTAGAAACTTAATCAGCATTTTGAACCAGGTTAGCTTTTTATTTTGTACTTAAAATTCTGGTACTGACACTTCACAGGCTAAGTATAAAATGAAGTTTTTGTGTGCACAATTCAAGTGGACTGTAAACTGTTGGTATATTCAGTGATGCAGTTCTGAACTTGTAATGTATATGGCATGATGTATTTTTATCTTACAGAATAAATCAATTGTATATATTTTTCTCTTGATAAATAGCTGTATGAAATTGGTTTCTTGAATATTTTTCTTCTCTTGTACAATATTCTGACATCCTACCAGTATTTGTCCTACCGGGTTTTTGTTGTTTTCTGTTCTGTACAATAGTATCTAATGTTGGCAAAAATTGAATTTTTTGAAGTATACAGAGTGTTATGGGTTTTGGAATTTGTGGACACAGATTTAGAAGATCACCATTTACAAATAAAGTATTTTACATCTATAAAGCTGCCTTGAGTTTCTGTTAACCCCTCATGATCACATCACAGTGCTGCTCTTAGATTGATGATTGCTTGAAATTCACTGACCTGCTGCTGTCTCTTGTAGCGTCACTGGAGCACGGATGTAACCACCCAGGTTCTCTTTCTTTTCAAGTAAGTTTAGATGCAACTTCATAAATCATTCCAGCTAGACACTCTTCCTTTCCATCGAATTAAAGGCATTTCTGTTTCCTTTTAGAATTATTCCCGGTGCCTTGCTCCCTTGTTCAAAGCCTTTTTTGATTACTTGGTAAGTTTAGTCTTCTGATTTTTTTTTTGAGGCAGCTTTCCTGTCTTATTCTGTGTGATAGATACCTTCTCTCTGTCTTAGTTTTGTGTTGCTATAAGGGATTATCTGAGTCTGGGTAATAAAAGTTTATTTGGCTCATGACTCTGGTGGCTGGAAAGTCCAAGAACGTGGCACTGGCCTCTGCGCAGCCTGGTGAGGGCCTCGTGCTACCAGAACGTGGTGATGAAGCAGAAGAGTGGGCATGAGTGAAAAGGGACAAAAGCGTGAGAGGTGCCCCTGCTTTGTAACAACCTACGCTCGTGGGAACTAATCCAGTCTTGACGAAGTGAGAACTCACTGCCGGGAGAAGGGCACCCGCTGTCTGTGCGGGTGGAGCCCCCACGACCCAAATGCCCTCCCGTCAGGCTCCACCCCTTAACGACACTGCCTCCCAGCACTGCCACAGTGGGGACCAAGCCTCAACCTGAGTTTTGGTGGGGACAAACCATGTTCAAATCATAGCACTATCATAATGAGTTAAACATACCTAATTTAAAGGGGTTGCTAAAAATGAAAACTGCCCAGAAAATCCACTTCGCAGTTTCTAAAACACATTGACTTATGCTTCATGAATACCCTAAAATAGCAAGCCTGTGTAGTACATTATTTTATAGAAATTCTCAAGTAACTATTACACGAAAAAGTTTTAATATTGCTGTAAAACATTTCCTGCCGATGAGATTGTCAGGTCAGGGCTGGGGAATATTAACAATCTGGGCTTGTCTTTAAAGCTGTGGCTTGCTAGAGGGGAGAGGGAGAGGAGAGGGAGAGAGAGAGAGAGGAGTGTGTGCGTGTGTGTGTGTGTTACATAGTACTTGATCTCTAATGATCAGACAAGGAAGGAACCCTTCAGGTCAGGGCTGGGGAATATTAACAATCTGGGCTTGTCTTTAAAGCTGTGGCTTGCTAGAAGGGAGAGGGAGAGGAGAGGGAGAGAGAGAGAGAGGAGTGTGTGCGTGTGTGTGTGTTACATAGTACTTGATCTCTAATGATCAGACAAGGAAGGAACCCTTGTGTGTGTGTGTGTGTGTGTGTGTGTGTTTAAAGCTGTGGCTTGCTAGAGGGGAGAGGGAGAGGAGAGGGAGAGAGAGAGAGAGGAGTGTGTGCGTGTGTGTGTGTGTTACATAGTACTTGATCTCTAATGATCAGACAAGGAAGGAACCCTTGTGTGTGTGTGTGTGTGTGTGACATAGTACTTGATCTCTAATAATCAGACAAGGAAGGAACCCTCTTTGAGTCATTGCAGAGCCTTGGATCTGTTCTGCTGGAGTGGATGCCACTCATTGCCCTATCAAGCCAGGAAAAGCAAGAAAGGGGATTGACTACAGTCTCGCAGGGAGCGGGGGCAGAGAAAGTGGCTATGACACCAGCAACCGGCAGCAGATGGTTCTCTGGTTGGCCACCTAGGGCTTCCAAGCTCACAGTCCCTTGAAGTCACCTCCAGAGGTGAGAGGAGGAGCAGCAGCAGCCAGACCTGGTCTTGCCCATGCGGGCAGTACTCATGCGTCAGCTGCCCTGCCTGCCTGTGACCACATGCTCAGCACCTTTATCAAAGCCTGAAAGGCACCAGGACTTAACAAACAAGACACCTGTTCTCCCGGGCGTCCCGGAACGTGTCTTCTGGTGTGGGAAATGGATACCAACAGGTGATATTTCACACGGAAATGTAACAAGGTAGGCTGGGAGGCAGCAGAGGCGTCTCTAAGGAGGTGACACGTGAGACCTGAAGGCAGAGGAGCCGCCAGCCTGGGAGCAGCGAGGCAAAGGCAGGATACGAAAATCAACGTGCAATAATCAGCCAGGCTCTTGGCTCCCAGCAGCTTTGGGTCGGGGGCCTCCGCCAGCGGCAGCTGCTTCAGCCCTCCCGGTGTGTCGCGCGTCGGGGTGCTGTGCTGTGATCCGTCACCTGGTCTTGAAGGTGCATCCTGACCCGTCTCCACACTTGCACACTGAAGAATGCCACATCTTGATTAACTTGCTTAAGGAATGTCACAAAAACGTAAATACCTCGGAATGGAACGACTAGGTCGTATGCACACCATTCTGAAAGGTTTTGGTTACTGCAGTGATGTGGATCAGGGAGACGAGAAAATGCTGGAAGAAGGGAGTACATGGAAGGGAGGGCCAAGAGTGGGGAGCCGGCGATGCCACGGGAAAGAGGCTTTTTAATCCTCCAGAGAAGTCCGGACAGTAAGTTGTATTTGCACTGGATGCCTTGGCCGAGAGAAGACGTAAAGACTTTCAGTTGATAACTGAGAGGATCCTATTTTATTTGGTCTCCAGAATCCTTTGAATGGAAAGTGACTCATGAGAAATTGAACCATGGAAAATAGGAAAACCCTGGATTCTGAGTATTTGTTGCGCAGAGCCTTTAGCACTCTTTTCTCTACCAACAAACCTAATAACTTCTACCGTGTTTCTTCCCTTTATCTATAAGCAGGTAAAATTTGAGTATCTTATCTCCTTCAATAAAATAATTTTTAAAAATCAGTAGTGTTTCTATACACCAAAACCAAACCAGCTGGAAAAGAAATCAAGAAAGCAATCCCATTTACAATAGCTACAAAACATAAAATACGTAGAAGTAAATTTGACCAGAAGTTTTTTAAATCCAGTTTTTATTCCTACCACAGAACTGTAGAGTGTTTCACTTCTTTTTCCTCGATGGCCGCAAAGTCACTTGGCTCGGCCGCAAAGTCACTTGGCTCTGCCGCACGAGCAGTCCACGCGAGCGTAGCACGTGGCATTGGTGACCCCTCCCGGACTTGGTGCCCCATCTCCACTCAAACGACCGTCCCTGCCGCCCTGCCCCTCCCCACGTGTCCCCGCCCGCTCGTAGTGCGCCCCCGGCTGCGGCTCCCCCGGCCCCGACCCCCTCTTTGCCTGTTGGATGTTGGCGCTCCCCCAGCGTCTGTCCTCCGCTCTCCAGGCTGACCTCATGCAAACCACAACTTACCCAATGTGGTGCCCTTTCCCAGGCATCTCCCTCCTGAGCCCCAGACCCAGCAGCCTCTCACTGTTACTGCAGCAACTCAACTGTTAGCACAAAAACCACACGTCAAAGACTCAGTCCCTTTTTTCTCCCCCGAAGCACCTCCGTCAATGTGTCCTAACTCTGTACATGGCAGTTCCACCTGCCCAGGTGCCCAGCCAGAGGCACGAGCCATCTCTGGGGCTTCTGCTCTGCTTGCTCCCCGGAGCCTGCCCTTCTCTTGAGCCTCCCCCGGCTCCACAAATGCCCTTGGCCTTGGCACCAAAGGGTGTGCTGTCCCTTTGGGCTCGAGGTGGAAACTCTGCCCCAGCAGCTGCTGACCCTTACCGGTCCCTTCACTGACATCTCTTCAGAGCCCCAAGTACTGTGACCTGTTCCCTAGCGGGACCCTGACCAGTACAGGAAGGAAAGACTTTTGAAAGAAACACTCGACAGTGTAAGTTTATACTCTTTGTAAAAATATTTGATAAAGTTTTGTGATTAAAATATCTATAGTGATCTTACAAACAAGGGGAGAGAACAAAAACTAAAAGATGTTTAGGTAGCATACAATTTTTCTCATAAATAATGCATTATAGTAATAATATAGCAAACATTTTTTTTTTTTTGTCTTTTGTCTTTTTCCGTGTCCGGCAACGGATCGCAACCCTCAGTGTTGCCCCCGTACCGGACTGGGGACCGGCAACGGGATCGCAACCCTCGGTGTTGCTCCCGCGCCTCGCTCAGCCAGTGAGCGGGAACCGGTCTGTATGTGGGATCCGAACCCTCGGGTGGGAGCGCCGCTGCGCTTCCCAAGCAGCGCACTATCCAGTGCGCCACCGGGCCGGCCCATACATTGGGATTCACTCAGGCAACATTCTATGGGTTTTGACAAATGTGTAATGACATGTATCCACCATTAATCATATAGAATTGTTTCACTGCCCAAAAAGTCCTCTGTGCTCTACCTACTTATCTCTCCCTCCCTGTATTATGGTTCTCCAGAGAAACAGAACCAACAGCATATGTATAGATGCACAGAGAGAGATTTACTATAAGGGACTGGCTCGTGTGACTACAGAGGTTCTGTGATTTCCTGACTGCACAAGGGAAAGCCACTGGTGTGGTTCCAGTCAAGTCTGAAGGCCTAAGAGCTGGGGGAGCCAGTGTTGTAAGTCCTGGTCTGAGCCCAAAGGCCCAAGAGCCAGGATAGCTGGTGTCCAGGGGCAGAAGATGCACATCTCAGCTCCGAGAGAGCAGATCCACCCTTCCCCCACCTTTTTGTTCTATTTGGGCCCTAAGTGGGTTGGATGGCGCCACCCACGCTGGTGAGGGTGGATCTTCCCTACTCAGTCCACTGGTTCAAATGCCAATCTTATCCAGAAACACCCTCACAGACACACCCAGAAATAACGTTTTACCAGATATCTGGGCATCCCTTAGCCCAGAGAAATTGACACACATTAACCTTCACACTGCCCCCAACCCCTGGCAGAAACTGATCTTTTCTCTGTCTCCACGGTTTTGCCTTTTTCAGATTGGCTTCTTTCACGGAGTAATATGCATTTAAATTCCTCCATGACTTTTCCTGGCTTGTAGCTCATTTCTTTTTAGCCCTGAATAATATTCCATTGTCTGGATGTAACACAGTTCATCCATTCGTGTACTGAAGAATGTCTTGGTTGCTTCCAAGTTGTGGCAGTTATGAATGAAGCTGCTATAAACATTCATACGCAGAATTCTGTGTGGACATAAGTTCTCAACTACTTTGGGTAAATCCGAGGAGCACAACTGCTAGATCATATGGTAAGAGCACGTTTAATTTTCTAAGAAACAGCCAAGCTGCCTTCCAAAGTGGATGTCCCGTTTTGCATTCCCACCAGCAACGAGCGCGTTCCTGTTGCTCCACACGCTTCTAATGTCTGCAGATTCTGTAGCGAGACTGCCCCTCCCACTCCTGATGCGGGTAACTGGTGTCCTTTTTCTTTCTTTGGCTAGAGGTTTATCAGTTTTATCGATCTCGAACCAGCTTTTGGTTTCATTAATTTTCTATTATTTTTGTTTTCTAGCTCATTCATTTGTTCTGATATTTAATACTTCTTCTGTTTCTTTGATCTTCACACTTGCTCTTCTATTTTCTTAAGATGGAAGCTGAAGTCACTGAGATTTTTATCTTTTTCTAATGCAGGTGCTTAGTACTATAAAATTCCCAAGTACTAACTTAGCTGTAAGCTACAACTTTGATATGTTGTGTGTTTGGTTTCAGTCAGTTCAGAGGAGCTTTTTGATTTCTGTGGGAAGTGTGTTATTTAGTTGCCATATATTTGGAGATTTTTCCAGGTTTCTTCTTGTTAACTGATTTTTATTACTATTGTTATTGATTTCTAATATACTTTGCATGACTTGCATTTGTATACACGTACAGAGTCTTGTTTAATATCCTGAAATATGGTCTATCTTGATAAATATTTCATGTGTACTTGAAGAGAATGTGTGTTCTGTTGTGTGGAGCATTCCATAAATGTTAATTAGGTTGCTGGTACTATGAGGATTCTATATCCTGCTGTTTTTCTATCAATTATTAAGAGGTGTATTAAAAACTCATACTATAATTGTAAATATGTCTACTTCTCCCTGCAGTTTTATCAGTTTCTGCAGCGTGTATTCCGAAGTTCTGTTACTGTGTGTATAAATGTTTGAGACTACTTTTGATGAATTGTTTACCATCATGACCTTCTTTCTCATCTCTAGTAATATTCTTTGCTCTGAAAACTACTTTGTCTAATATTAACATAGCTATTCCACATGTCTTTCAATCAGTGTTACGAACACATATATCCCGCCATCCTTTTAACTTATTTGTGTCTTCATATTTAAAATGAGTTTCTTATGGGCAGCATATGGTTGGATCTGTTTTATCCAATCTGACCATCTCTGCTCTTTAACTGGGGCATTTAGACCCATTTGCTTTCTCTATATATGTACCATCTGGTAATTGAAGTAGAATGACAGATAAAATATTTAAGATACAGATCATGTACCTAATATGGTGCTTAAACTGCTCTGTGGTTCAAGATAAAATAACTGAGCACATCCCCTGATTTTGGGGGAAAAAAATACACCTTATATTTTGGCATTTACAGTATAAGCAGACGATTCCCAAGTTTATTATCTCTAATTGAGATAAATCTGAGATCCTGACCCTCTACATCCAATTGCCTGTTTATCAGTAATACCTGGGTGTTTCACAAGCAACTTTGATGTAAAGTATCCAAATTCACGCAGCTCAAGCTAAGAAACTGGGATGCTTCCCTAAAGGTAAGAGCTCCTGCCTTGCTTCCTAGCTTAACAGCTGAATCTGAGATTATTTCTTATCACATGTATCAGATACGTGGGGCAACTCAGACCAGAGACCCCAATACAGGACAAAAGATACAGAGCAGACAAAGGATCCTTTATTTTAAATGTAGATAGTATCATCATTCATCAAAATAATTTATAATAGTTAACTGCCTCTTAAATATTGTCTTATGATGCCTTCTGAAGTTACAAGTAATGTGGATTCACTCAGTGTTTAAAATTATCTATTTAAAACAATCAACAAACGATAACAGAAGTAAAAAAAATTGTCTCCTATGAAGTCTTCTAAGAAGGGAAATCAGGAGAAGTTCCTGATCAGCTAAAAACCATTCCATCATTAAAGGGGATTAAGAAAGAAGCATAAATAAATCTGAATAGAAACGTCCATTTCCTGGGTTTTGTCCCCCTGTTCAAACCTGACTTTTCCTAGTTAAAATTATATTCTGATTTACCTCTATAAGCAAGAAATTCCTTAATAGCAGCTCACAAATGACCTAATGTCTTAGTGAAACATCCTTCTTCACCTGCTGATGGTCACTCCGTGCTCCCATCTCTACCAGATCCGCTGTGTCAGCTCTGCTAACCTTCCCAGGCACCTCCAGGAGGACAGGGAAATGGTCATCCTCTCCAGGATGGCTCTACCCAACCAGGGAATCAGCTCAGGCTGTCCTTGCAGCAGCAACATTCTTGCAAAGCACCGCACCTTACAGAGGAGGCAAAGCCTGATGAACCGCCATTCCAGCATGGCGCCCACCTTAACCTTCCAAATGCCACTGTTGTGAGGAGGAGCCATCACAGATCGCCATAGCAACAGAGCCTTTCTGACCCAGGGGATCCACCCCTCTCAGGCACTGTCCAACAGACACCTGGTACAGCCGATTATTCTTCTGAAAAAAAGGTAGCAAGAAAAAAAAACCCACCAATTATTTCCTTTTATTTAAAAAACATACTGGCAGAATGTGGTATAAAGAAGATACCAAAATCCAGAAGAGATGGGGAGCACTTAAGATTAATTAAGAGATACAGCAGCCCTCCCTCATCTTGCAGTTCTGATTTCCACAATCTCAGCTACCTGTGGCACAATACAATAAGGTATTTGGAAAGAAACCACATTTGCTAACTTTTATTACAGTATAGTGTTATAATTGTCCTATTATTAGTTGTTAATCTCTAACTGTGCCTAACTTATAAATTAAACTTGTCATAGGTACCATAGGTATGGATAGGAAAAAATATACTGCATAGAAGGTTCGGTACTATCTGCAGTTTCAGGCACCCACTGGGGGCCTGGAAAAGTATCCCCCACAGATAAGGGGGACGTGTGCTGCAGACTCAGAAGACCACCTCCCACGCTCCCTCACTCCACCCTGCTTGCCTCCTCACATCCCCCAACAACACTATGTGCCGTCCTCACCCCGAGGGTCCACTGCTGGGATCCTCCTGACCCATGGCACTTCATGAGTCGTGGTGGGTCTGACGAGCGGGTTTCTGACATATCGAGGCAAAGGAGGTTATTTAAAACCAATTCGTGCTCTTCGTTATAACTCCAGATCTAGAGAAGAAATAAAAACCCAAGTTTTGCTTTAGATTCTGAAATTCAGGACTGGACACACTTGACATATTTGTGGAAGAAAAACGGACTTATTCTGTATGGTCTCAAAGCAGAAACAGACCAATGTACTAGACTTACATGAAAGCAAATTTCAACTCAGTTATCTGAAATTCAGTGAGAACTAACACAGGAGAAAGTGAGGCGCTATTCTGGGAAAAGACCTAAGCAGGGGTTAAATTGTTAACTGTATTTAACTTAACTGAGTTTAAGTGATCACATAAGTGTAAATCTCTTCCACTGCGGGGATTCACAGTTAGAATACACTGTGTAAGAACTGGAAGAGCCCACTGAGCTGCTGGCTCGCCTTCTGCAGCCAGAAACACACACGGCTGTTACATTCCTGCGGCCCTCGGCCCTCATCTGCTGGGCAGGGACGAATGCGTAAGCTGGTCCAGTGCATCGTCCTGCAGAATGTCACACTCTCATTCCAGATCGTAACAACATTTGCAACGAGATCTACGGTTTCATCTCGACCACCCAGAAGCAGGACTTCCCTTGGATGCACAAATGACCTTTCAGGATAACCTTCTCCACTGTCTACCTGATCACTTTCAGGAACACAGACCTGCAATGGGCTAAAATGGCAAGTGCGACGACTAACTGCGTCTTCCCCACCGCTCCACTCAGCAGGACACACTGTCTTCTACTCTCCCCATCATCTCACTCACTGCTGCTTCTACCTGTAGACCCAAAACGGGTGTGTGTGCTCTGTGTGCTCTCCATTCCTATGGAGGGGAAGACTCAGTCCGAGAGAGAGACAGCTGTGGCAGAGCTTCCTGCACTGCTGCTGGTTCACAACGCGTGTGTCCAGGGAGCCCCTGGTCACATGCGGCTACTGAGCACTTAAAATGTAACCAGCGTGACTGAGAAACTGCACTTTTTTTTTTTGTCTTTTTCCGTGACCGGCAACGGATCGCAACCCTCAGTGTCGCCCCCGTACCGGACCGGGACCGGCAACGGGATCGCAACCCTCGGTGTTGCTCCCACGCCTCGCTCAGCCAGTGAGCGGGAACCGGTCTGTATGTGGGATCCGAACCCTCAGGCGGGAGCGCCGCCGC